TGCGCCCCATGAAACTCCTTCGAAGAAGGTTCTACAGGGCCTTGTTGGTTCTGGTACGACTCCCTTCGTTCTAGGTAGGAATCTTTGTAACGGCTCCAAGTTGTCCGTTCGTACCAACGCTTTAGAGTTTTCCTGCCATGTTCTTCCTCCAGTTGTTGTTGCTGACATGGATGCTATGGGTAGTCCCACCATTTCTCATAATATGGAATATGATGCTGCTCAAGCTATGTATTACTTAGTTGCTGGTTCTCGGCGCATTCAACGCCTCAGTGAGATGGAGCAGGCTAATGTTGGGTTGTAGGTGAGGCAAAATACAAGCGTCAGATTGCATATCTTAAGAAAGAAAACCACAAATTTGGCCAAAAGTATGACCTACTTATTTCAGAGAAAATGGATGTGGAGGAGATGCGATCGGCCTTAGAAGCAAAGTTGGATTCTCTCACTCAGTCTAATGAAGGCTTTATGATACAAAATGAAAGCTTGGATCACGGTGTCGTTGACCGAGACAAGCTTGTTGAAGAGGCCCGGGCTGACGCCGACGCATTGCGCCGAGACCAGGATTCTTTTGGTGGGGGTCGTGCGCATTATATATAAGAGGATTGAGCACCCAGAGTTTACTGGCGGTGTTAACCGGATTCGCCATGCCGCCTTCGTGGCTGGGAAGGAATCCGGTCGTGCAAGATTGAAGGCGGAGATTGACTCTAGGACTTATGAACCTGAAGCGAGTGATTCCCAGTCTAGCCATACCATAGGGCTAGATGATACGCTGGTTATCTTTGCAACCCATGATTACGATGCTCTACTTGGTTTGGGCCAACTTGATATGTCCGTGATAAGGTAACTATGCATGTTTGAGGATGTTGACGAGCCCATATGTAATGCTATAGGTGGGGATTACGCTGGTGGTAATGGGGCGACTGCTGGTGGTGTTGCTGGTGTTGCTGGGGGGGGGGGGGTGTCGAGGTTGAGGTTGTTGGTGGTGGCGCTGTTGGTGGTGAAGATGTTGGTGGAGCTTGTGGTACTTGTACCGTTATGATACCCTTTGGTGTGAAAAAATTTTATGAGCTCTTTATCTCTTTTCCCTATTTGTTGTTTGAATATTTTGGGCCCTTCTTGGCCTTGAATGTAATAGTTCGTTGGGTGTATCTCCGTTGTCTTAATGGATATTACTTTTATCTTCCTGTATCTTATTTGAAATATTTCTGAATGCCTGCATTTCTCTGTCTATGTATGCATAACTGTGTGCGTTTGCTTTATTGACCTGCTTACTCAATATCTTCCCTTAATTAATTTGGTTCTTTTCGCTTGGAGATGCAATGTGTCTTATTGTGGGAGGCATTCTAACTTCGCAAATAGCATATTCAACCTTGTGGGGTGCCTCTAGTACTGAGCTTCTATTGGGAGTGCAATAAGCCTTTTTCTGCTTATTGGGAGCTGCATTGAGTTTTGTAATGGACGTGTTGAGCTTCTATTATCTGTTGAGTGTTTAAACTTTACGAAGGATGCACTAAGTGTTTGTGTGAAATTCACTAAGTATATTAGTTCGTAAGGAATATGTTAGGCTCTTTGAAAAGGAATGCACTAAGTATTTTAATTTGTAAGGAATACTCTAAGCCTTTTAAACTAGAATACACTAAGTATTTAAATTTGTAAGGGATACTCTAATTCTTTTAATCTGGAATACACTAAGTATTTAAATTTGTAAAGAATGCTCTAACCCTTTTAAACTGGAATATGCTAAGTATTTAAATTTGTAAGGAATACTCTGAGCCTTTTAAATTGAAATACATTAAGTATTTGAATTTGTAAGGAATACACTAAGCCTTTTTAACTGAAATACACTAAGTATTTGAACTTGTAAGGAATAAACTAAGCCCTTTTTTTGAAATGGAATACGCTAAGTATTGTTCATCAGTCCGGTTGATCAGTCCAGTTTGTAAGTTATCACAAGGTCATCGTTGTCCCTCCTAGCTAAGGATATTTCTACGTTCTTCCCCTCAAAGTGGGGGCACTTCCAATTGCTTCTTCTGGGTAGGTGTTGACCCACAACTATTTCTTCTAGGTGGGGATTCTTATTTAAAATGGAACTTCTTAAGGTTTTCTGGCATTCCATGCTCTTGGGATCGGCCTTCCTTCAATTGTATCGCATGTGTAGGACCCGTTTCTGTGTGCTTCAGTTACTTTGTATGGTCCTTCCCATGTGGGGCCTAGTTTAGTAGCTTCCCTCGTGGCTGAGCACAACTCACCTCGTTCTTTCCTAAGACATTGTCTCCCACCTTGAAGGATTTCTCCTTCACTCTCTAATTGTAATATCCTTTACATCGTTCTTGAAGGCTTCTTGACAGACGTTAGACTGCTCACACTGCTCTTCAATGAGATCTAGGTTCTATCTTAGATCCTCATAATTGCTTTTCTCCTGGAAGTGTATCGTGCGCGACGAGCCGATCATTAGTTCTGCTGGCAGCATTTCTTCTGTGCCATAGGCTAGGCTGAACGGTGTCTCTTTGGTGCTTGTCCTTGGGGTCGTCCTTTATGACCAGAGGACTCCTGGAAGCTCTTCTACCTAGCTTCCTTTGGCCTTTCCTAGCCACTTCTTGATCCCATTCACGAGTGTCTTATTGGAAACTTCCTTCCGTCCATTAGCCTGGGGGTGTTCTACTGACGTGAATCGTCCCTCTATTCATTTTTCTGCAAACCAACTTCTGAATGGATTTTCTGAAAATTGCAATCCATTATCGCCAATCAGTACTTTGGGTGTTCCGAACATTGTTATGATGTTTTTCCATAAAAACTTAATCATCTGCCTCCCTGCTATGCACACTAATGGCTCGGCTTCAATCCACTTGGTGAAAGTAGTCCACTGCGACCACCAAGAAATTTACCCTTCCGGGGGACTCTGGGAACGGACCCACAAAGTCGATTTCCTACTGGTAAAAGGGTCATGGGTTGGTAATAGTCTGTAACAGCTGGTTTTCCAGGTCGGATCGATTTGGGATTTCAAGGAGTCAAGGCTTGGTTTTTGGAGTAAAACCAAGGCTCACGACGTGAGCCATAGAAGGGTCACGACGTGAGTGGGTACTAAACGAAAATGTTGAATTATAATGAGCTCACGACGTGAGATATGCTACAGCCAAAGCCCATTATCTTTTACGGTTTCCTTCGTATTTAAACCTTATAAACTTCATTCTAGGGTTCCAAACAGTCTCTTTCGTCCCTGAACTCAGTAAAACCATGAAGTGTGTTAGGTTTGATTACGAACACAATTGATCCAAAAAAACAATTAAGAAAACAAGATGTAAATATAATCTGTTTGGCTCGTATTTAGTCCGAAATGACTACAAAGTATGAAGAGTGTTTTACAATCAGAAGTGCTCAAAAATTACCCTATACTCTGGTACCTACCCTATTTATAGGGTACAACAGACTCAACAAAAAATACAAGGACAAAACATTCTAGCTTCAAAACAAACAGTGCCTTGAAAATACATAGAGAGTCGAAATTTTTTTGGATTTTGACTCCATATAGACTCAGACTATTTTGACTCCTCACTATAACGTTTCAACCCCTACAATCTCCCCCTTAGTGATAGAAGTGAAATTTATAACATCAGCTTTAGAGTCTAAAGAAGTACATTTCGAATCTCTATATACCACAAAATGGTCCTTTGAATCTCTGCCTTGTCTTTACTCTCATTCTTCTTGCAGTTGTAATTTGAACAAGGAGATTTGTATAGTGAGAGTTTGTATACCTCTCAAGATCACTCACTTGGAACAAAAACTTCATCATTCACCCAATCCTGTTCTTTCCTCGAAACACGACCCCAGGAGGTTGATGAATTATCTCACCATATTCATAATCATTGATAAAAATCTTCCCTCTTAGCAAAGATTGAGGGACTTTCAAAGGTTTCTTGACAGCTGAAGCAAGCTCAATATCAGTGATTGCCAAGTAATCATAGTAGTTGTGTATGAAAACCTTTATATGAGCAAAACCAATGATGAAATCATCCTTGTTGGTCTCAATTATCTTTGATACATCCACATTACTCAAAATCTTTGTGACCGTGATCAAGTCATTTAAGTTCATTAATGGAAAATCTGCAATTCTAAACTCACAAGCAACATTATTTGCTCTTAAGATCACATAGCGGAAGTTTTGCCGAAGACCTTCGAACAAGTTGTCACGCATGATAGTCATCACCTTCACTATCTTCACAGGCGACAATATCTCTTCTTCGTTTTTCCCCAAGACCTCGTGAAAACGAATCTCCAGTCTTTTAAATTCATCTTTATCTTTGAAATTCTCAACAATCTTGAACAGAGAAAATGTGAATAACATGTGGTTGATCGGGAAATGAAGCTAATTGAAATCGGAATTTTCAATGTCATAGTTCTTCTTACGCACCTTTTGAAAGTAATCATTCAACCCAATAAAAACAATATATTCAATCGTTTCATAACACCACTGCTTGGTAGGATCACCCTTGTGCAAGCCAGGTGGGTTATTAACTCTTTGCCTCAAGATACTGTTGATCTGACTTTGCTTCTCAATTTCAAGAGCTTGTTGCTTTTTCTTCTCTTCTTCTAATGGAACAACAAAAATAGCTTTTCCTTTATTACTTGGATCATCATTCGAAGTTGGTGGAATCGAACTCAAACTCGAACATCCAGCCCCTTCGTTTATTGAAATTCCTTTTGTCAATGCTCTTGTTATTGTTGTTGTTGTTGTGGAAGTTGTGGTCAATGACATGGGAAGTAAAGTCGGAATTTGAGTCGAACTTACTTTCCCAACTACAACTCCTTTCTCAAGATCCTTTGAAGAACAAACTCCTCCAATTATTTTCTCTCTCCCTTATGACACTTGCACCACACACAGAGCATTCGTTTCTAAACGGCGAACCAACTCAAGGATTGGAGCAAGCTCGGATTTGATATTGGACTCAATATTCGAAATCAATTGAGAAAGAGACTCTTGAGAGACTGTTGATTGATGCGAAAGATCAACCTTGGAAATAGACTCCTTGATTCTTGATAACACTTTTTTCCATCTTCTTGAACACCTGAGAATCCTTTTCTGACTTGACTTCAAGCTTATTCATATACTCAGAATTAAACTCAACCAACTTGGTGACAACAGTCACATTGACATCGACTTTACCATGCAACAAAGTGTAGTTTTTCTCCATTTTCTGAACTTCTTTCGACAACTCAAATTTGAGTTCAACAATTTTGAGATCCACAGACTCCTTCATTTTAGAAACTTGTTCAACAAAGAGATCATGACGTTCCTTTGCAACGTCACAAAGCTTCTGAATCTCATAGTCAAAGCTCTTGGAATGAATTACTAACCTTTCTGCTTGTTTCTGCTCAATGCCCTCAACCAAGCTTAGAAAGCGAATTTCTTGAGCTTTTAACAAATATTCCCTCTCTATGCCAGTCAAAAATTTCCTTCCTCCTGTATCTGCTTGTATTTGAAGAAGAGAATGGATTTTCGAGTTGAGAATCTTGAGCTGGTTACCTGACATGATTAAGTTATCAGGAACATTCTCCTCCCCAGGATCAACTTGAAGATCAGCAAAGGACACCATGATTTCATCGTTATTAGGTTCTTTGTCATGAATCATTATCTGAGCCTCAGTTGATTGAGAAGAAAAGAGAGTGATAATTGCTTCATGCATGATAGTAGAATATGTTGGTGAGATGGTCGAAACTGGAACTGAAGTTGTAATGGGTGATGAAATTGGTGGTAAAGCTGTTCACGTGTCAACAATGGAAGTTTTGATTGTAGATGAGATGATGGTTGAAGTATTGATGGTCGATGTTTCAGTGGTAGAAGTGACTGATGATTCATTGTTTCTACACCCCTTCACCCATGTTGACATTTGTGTCCTTATCAGATAAGTCCACAGTGTTGTCTGGAGTTCGAACCTGTTTCATATTGGACATGGTTTGTGAAACCCCTGATGGTATGGCCAAGGTCTTCTCAGGGATGAATGTTGGTTGTTGATCATTCGAATTGATGTTTGTATCGATATTAGATACGTTTACATTGACATTAGGATCCCCTGTCACCTCGAAATTCGACTTGAGGAGAATCCCTTTGAGGTGATCCAATAACAGAATCTTCTATGCGAATGTCTGATCTTTCACTATCACCGTCATGATCAGTTTCGACCGTAAATATTTCAAATTGAACCGCACTCTTCCGTTTCTTCTTTTGTAACTTCTGAGCCATATCAAGTGCTTGACGTTTATGCGATGCGGGTGAGACAAGAACATATACTTCATGAAACAATAGGCCTTTCCTATTAAATTGAGGCTTTCGAATCTTCTTTATACCCTTCTGAGAAGAAAGATTATTTGAGGAATCAACATTCGTTTGCTTAGTACTTTCGCTTTCAGGTTCTTGCACAGGTTGCTTCATTGGGGAATCAATAGGCCTCTTTGATGGTTTCTTTGTTCTTTTTAGAATTCCTGATTTCGAAGGGAGGATTTCTTTCGTAACTTCCTCCTCCACATTTGGTGGTTTCTCAACTTGCTTCTTCTTCTTTGGAAGCTTTAGAGGATCCTTCTGCCCCTTTTTGTAGAAGAACCCTAATTAGTGTAGACGAGTCAATCGAAGGAAAGATATTGCACAAGGATATGATTTTTGGGATCAACAAGGTTGATCATTGCATCAGGAATACGAGCAATAGTTTGAAATATGGTTGGATCATCAACAAAAATCCTTGGCGCAACCATAGTCGGAAACTCAGAAGTTTCGACACTAGAAGGAACCAAAATATCTGCTTGTCGATAAACATCTTGTATAATAAGGCTCAATTAACGAGCACTAGAAACACCATTATCAAGATTGGTGTGTGTAATTGCAGTTCCAAACTCCTCCCAGAGATGTGTGGCATATTCCACATTCAGACCGTAATACAGTCCTACGACGACTGAATATATTTAAAGCTTGGCTTTGTCGAGCCCTGAGCTTCGTCCTGTTAAGCAACGTAACACAATCCCAAACAAAAAACTCCTTATGCAAGGAAGACTTGACTTCTTAAAGTGACTTATCCCAGTAAGAATTTATTGATGCCCCATTTTATTGAACATATGAAGAACTTGATCAGTCGAAACTTCATAAAAGGTACCTGACACTGGCAACTTTAGGATTTGGGAAAATTGCTTCCTAGTAAGCTTCTTCGTCTTTGAATTCGTCAACTGAAACGTGACCACCTTAGTTGTTTTGTTGAAGACAGTAGTGGAACTAGCAAGAGAAAGCCATTCTATTGGGACCGCGAATGAAGAAGACAATGCAGTTGATAAGACAGAGTTGTTTAGGGTTTAAACAAGCATCCGTAATGGCTCCGGATATTTATCAATCGATGGAACCAAACAAAGATTGGTAGTTTCAATCTTTATCATCGTTTGAGAAACTTCCTCTTCATTTTAGTTGGATCAGCAGTGGGATGAGGAGCAACCATTGCAGAGAATGCAGATGTGCTTGAAAACGATGAACAGTTTGGGGGTTTTTGGAAATTTGATCTAAGAGTATAAAGTCTGATAATGAAATCATCAACTTCCTTTTATAATCGACCATATTTTTGAATTTGAACCGATATCCAATAATACACTGCCACGTATTATGTTGGTTACATAATCGTCACCGTAAAAAGCTCCACGTCATAAAAGTGATCATCGCGTTTTTTTTGAATCCCATGAAAATCTTGAACCGTCATGTCCATCAGATCTTTCGTTGTTCCCAACCGGATAAGAACCGTCACATATTTCTAACTGCAACCACATATACTTTGTTATTTCGACACCAAGATACTACTATTCGTTCGGTATGTAGGCTAGGCTCATTTGCTTTTGGGATATGGAAGCGAAATCATATGTCAGTCTTTGCAAAATCTAAGTTTCGCGTTGGTAGTACCCAAAACCTCAAGGATTTCAATGCATTTGTGTGCCAAAGAATAAGAGAGAATCAATTTAAAAAAATGTGGATATAGTGATATCAAATTTCTTTTGATACAAAAGCAGAATGATCGCATGCAAAGATCTCTTCATTTGACATCAAGCGAGATGAAGAACTGCTTGTGCGGTATCCCGTGAATTATAATCGAATACTCGTTGATGAACATCGAAGGGCTTCTTTTTCATTGGTTTCGAATGTAGCTTCAATTTTGCACAACATCACAACTTAACATAAATGTGATCCAACTGAGCAAAATTACTTGGATGACTAGTGTAGTCAAGAACAAGTATGGTTGGATATGATTTTAAGTGACAAAACTTCAAAAAGATATTCCGACGAAAGTCTCATTTAAAAATAAATTAAGTACTGCATCTTGTTGGGCGAATATGTCTTGGTGTTATAACATTTTATCAAGATCACGCAACACGAATGGATGAGATTTTGAATTTCGAAAAGGTACAGAAACAAGTGTTTCGTTAAAATATTGAACAAAAGTGTTCACCGTCAATTCATTGATAGTTGGGTTCGTTGGGTTTCACCATCATCACAAAAGAATGACTCAGGATCATAAACACATGGTTTTGCCATATCTACATTATGGTTGGTTTCGACTAGAGATGTCGAGGATATGCAGTAAAATGTGTGATCGTGAAAGAAATTTGAGGTGAAAAAGATTGGATATAAGATCTCATTGTACATCTGTGAAATATATGGACATAATAGAAATATCTTTACTCAAGATGAGAAGAGAAAGGTAGCTCTTCGACTAATGTTAATCCAGCCTGATTGGTAGGAAACTTTCATAGTGAGAGTTCTATTAAGGCTTCGAACACATAGATTCTGTGAGGCTTGAAGAAAACATGCATCAGTAGCTTCTAGGGACACTTAACTAGTACATCAATTCGAATGAATACTTGTTCCCTTAATGGATATGTTCGTTTGGCATGAAATAATAGATTGTTGTTACAATGAGACTTGAATCGTTAGACAATAATATCAACAAAAGACAACCTAACAAAACTGTTCCTTTGAGGTATCGAAAGATATTATTAACAACATTGAGATGGGGTTCTCTTGGGTTCAATTGGTACCTGGCACAATTACATACATCAAATGTAATATCAGGTCAACTTGCAGTTAAATACAAAAGCATACCAACCATGCTTCTATACGTCGTAAGATCCACAATCGGCATATCCAACGAAGGATTCAAGCACGTGCCAAGTGCCATTGGTACTTTAACTTTCGTGTTATTCGCCATGTCAAACCTTTCAAGAAGATTTCGAGTATATTTATCTTCATTAATAAAAATTCCTTCCCTGCTTTGACGAATGTGCAAACCTAAAAATTTATTGATTTTCCCCATCGTACTTATATCTAATTGACTTTTCATGAGTTCCTCAAATTCTTTAGATAATAAAGGATCAGTCGAACCAAAAATAATGTCATCGACATAAATTTGAACGAGCATCAGGTGATCCTATACTTTCTTTCGAAATAAAGTAAGATTAACTGATCCTTGTTTAAATTTGGCGGTTTTCAAAAAAATTTTCAGAGTTGCATACCAGGCACGAGGTGCTTGTTTCAACCCATAGAATGCCTTATCTAAATTATAACAGTGATCATGATAATTATCGTGAACGAAACCAGGTGGTTATTCAGCATACATCATTTCCTTTATAACACCATTGAGGAATTCACATTTGACATCCATTTGGTGGACGTCGAAATCCTTATAAGTTGCATAAGTAAGAAAATTTTGTACCGCCTCGATTCTTGCAACAGGGGCAAAGGTTTCCTCATAATCGATACCTTCTTGTTGAGAATAACCTTTTACGACTAGTCTCGCTTTGTTTCAAATAACATTGCCTTCTTTATCAGTTTTATTTTAAAAAATCCATTTTAGACCAATTAACTAAACATTCTTAGGTTTAGGAATCAACCTCCAAACTTTGTTTCGTTCGAATTCGGCTAGTTCAGATTGCATTGCAACAACCCAATCAGAGTGTTCTAATGCAATCTTTACTGTTTTTGGTTCTAGTTTCGAAATGAAAACATTAAAAATATAGTATTATTGATGAAAATTCAACACTTCATTTGTGGCTCGAATCTGGGCTCAAGTCAAGACACCAAAATTTGGATCACCAAGAATCTGTTCCTTTGGATGATCTCTTGTCCACTTGTCCATCGGTGGATATGAAGGATCAAATTCTAAAGGCTCTTCTTTGATAATGTCATCCGCTTCTGAACCTTCTCCTTTAGTCGAGATATTGTCAGGTATATCATGAAAATCAATATTTTGATCAGTACTATTATCATGATTCGATCCACTTGGCTCCCCCTCGACCAATGGATTTGAGATGTGATGTTCCCCCTCAACATCAGCATGGTTCGACATACGCCCCCCTCGATGTGAGCTATATTTGGAATATTCTCCCCCTCAACAGTCGAATCATTTTTTCCATGTTGTCATGTCGAACTCAAGTGTTGCCCCTTGACTTGATCACCACTCGACACCGAAATTCTTTCGATATTTACACTAGAAGTTGATGAAGAATGTGCATCATTTTCTTCACTTGTGACTATCGAATCATTAGTGTGTTTCGATACTTTAGGAACATGATTATCATCAGCATGAATTTCTGTGTCAATGGCCTTATCATGAATTCCAAAAATCAAATCAAGATCAATATCGTAAGAACTCATGATTTCAGATTCAAGATTTGTTTCAGCCATTATAGGGTTTTGAACGAAAGACTGTTTGAATCTTTTGACGTAATAGTCATCGAATGTGAGATTGAAAGTTTCTTCGATCTTCTTTATTCGTTTATTCAACACCCTATAGGCTACATAGTTGTGAGAATATCCCAAGAAGATTCTTCATCTGATTTTGACTGAATTTTAGAAATATTGTCCTTGAGATTCGTGATGACACATCTGCACCCAAAAACATGGAAAAATTTAACATTAGGTTCCTCTTGTTTATTACTTCATAAGATGTTATATTAAGACGACGATGAATGAAAGAACGATTTTGTGTGAAACATGCAGTCGAAATAGCTTCTGCCCAAACATATTGAGGCAAGTTCACATATGTAAGCATTGTTCTTGCAGCTTCACATAAGGAACGATTCCTCCTTTCTACAACACCATTTTATTGCGGTGTGTAAGGAGACGAAAAATTATGAGATATTCCCAACTCAGTCAAGAGTGAATCTAGAATTCAATTATTAAATTTCATTCCATTATCACTCTTTATCCTTCGAACTTTCCTCTCTAAACTCAACTCTATGTTCTTGATAAAGTCAATCATTACTTGAGTACTTTTAGACTTCTGTCGAAGAAAGAAAACCCATGTAAACCTGGAAAAATAATGAACAATAACTAATATGTACTTCTTCTTATTGAGAGTCTCAACAGTCCAGGGTCCACATAAGTCAATGTGAAGAAGTTCCAAAGGT